AAAAACAAAAAACAAAAAAAAAAAAAAAAAGTAATAGCAGCAGCAGGCGCAATAGCAAGAGTAGCAAATAAGAGAAGTAGTCATCCTAGTAGAGATATTCACTTACTTAGTTTAGGCTTTTACAGAGCTCACTGTGAACCAAGCACTGTCCTAAGCACTTTACAATAATTAACATCCTTAATCCCCACAATAATTCTATTGTAGGTAACAATTCTTATTATACTCATTTTATAGATGAGACATGCAAATTAAATACCTTGCCTAAGACCACATGATTAGTAAGGGGTGGAGCCAGGCTTCAAACTAGGGCAGTGTAGGCTCCAAAATACCATTGGTAGGAGCAAGAGTAACAGAGGCAGAGCCAAATACTAATGATGGGAACAGTCGTAGTGGCGACAGTGGTGGCAACAGTTGCAGCAGGAGCCATGGAAGTAGTAGGAGCACCATTAGTAATGGCAGTTGTGATTGTGATAGTCACAAGAGCAGTAATAGTAATAGTGGTGATGACAGTAACAGTACTAGTCATGGTGATGAAAGTACTAATAGCAGCAGTGACATCGTAACGATCGCTACTGTTCTTTGAACACCTGCTGTGTTCCAGGCATTGGAGTGAGCTGTTTCTATATCATTAATCCTCACCAGAATCTGTGAGGCCGGAGTGATGCCACTTTACAGCCAGGGTGACTAAGGCTCAAAGAGGTTAAATGCTCCCGAAGGTCACACAACTAGGAAGCATTAGAGCCACGTCTTTCTACTGGAGTTCTTTCTACTCTGTGGCCCTTTAGTCCATCTGAGGTTGTCTAGTAGAGGGTGGCCTCTGCTGGATGCCTCCCAAGGTGGGGTGCACTCCTTCTTGGGAGGCCTATTACCCTATAACCCTTACTCCTGGCTCTCAAACCTCCCCTTTAGCCCAACCCCAAACATACCCACTCCGTTTGCCCCATTGCAGCCCACAGAGATTGAAGATCTTCTCCCAACCCACCCATCCCTTCCAAATCATCTTTCGCAGCACGTAGATTGCTGGCCTCTCTCCATTCTGCATGATGCCTAAAACAGGACTAATGCTGGAAATGGAAGAAAAATGGAATAGTTACCTCCCTCCCTCTGACACCTTACTTCCCTTAATACAGCCTGGAATTGCATGAACTTCTCATACTGGTAACATCCCGAGACGACCACAGATTATAAACTTTGAGTCACTTCCAGGCCTTCTCCTCTCCTAACCTGTGTGGCCCTGGGCCCTGCTATAGTGAGAGTTCCAGTTTCTCCATTTTTCTGAGGCCCTCTGGCTTGTCACCAACCAGAAGCAGCGGGTTTCTCCCAACGGTTCCTGATTGTCCTTTCTGAGCATCAGAATTAAGAGATGCAGTTATCAGCTACCCATTGTCCCCTTCCGCAGAGTATCAGTTCAGCGGTAAGTTAAAGTGATCCTCAGAGAAAGTGCTCCCAGGTCAAATCAGTTTGAGAAACACCAGGTGACATGGCTCCCCAGAGCCTTTCTGAGTTTTTGCAAAAGCCTTTGTGAATCTCCCCCCAAAATGATGTACTCCTCAATGTTTCCTAAACTTTTTTTTCCAAATTAATATTTACTTATGTGTGGGACATGCAAATGCACTCATTTTGAAAATTAAAAAAAAAAAATCACAAACTACAGTTAAAGCTACAGTGTCTACTGGCTGATGCTTCTCTCCCCAGAAGCATCACACACCCCCAGACATGTCAACTGTTGTCAGTTTAATGAGGCCCTTGCAAACCTTTTTCCATAAATTTACATTCACACATCTAGTATGTGTCCACAGAAAATATTTAGGATGTATGTGTGCATGTTTTGTAGAAATGAATCGTATTTATCATTTGTAAAACCAGCTGTTTTCACTCAACAATGTATTTGTGAGGTGAAGTTGTATCAGAAATGAATCTCAACCTCCTCTTAGAAGAGCCGCTTCGAGCAGCACAGTTTAGGTGGCGGTTCCCTTTTGGATGGACACTTAGTTGTTCACTTACATAATGGAGCCTCTATTCGTGGGACATGTTGGTAGACCTATAATTTCTTCAAACATACCTTGGAAAACTAATCTGGATCAACACCCTCACTACATGTCAAGAAGAAGGGTCAAACCAGATCCCCCATATGTCCAAGGCCATGGACAGAGGCCACAATTCAAGAAATCTGGATCCTTGTGCTGGCTCTGCCCCTACTGTGCTGTGTAACCTTGGGCATGTCCCGTGCCCTCCCTGGGCCTTCTCCCATGACACACAGCGCTTAGGGTAAGATGCTCTCGGGCATTCTTGTCCTCCCATGGCTCCCCCCACACTGTCACATTTATTCCTTCCTCCCCTTTCTCCCCACAGGAGCCTGACAGAGACAATAACAGCCCACCAGGGTTCCCGGAGGGTAAGTGTCCGGCAAGCAGGTGCTGTGGGGTCACGTACCATGCAGAGGATTAGGTTAGGTTCTCGGTCAGAGCTTGAGGCAAAAATCCCAAACAGTCAAAACCACCCTCGAAAATCCCCTAAATTGCCCCTGAAGTACTTTGCAGAGGCTGTTTTTTCTATAACACTATTTAGTAATATGAGCAAAAAGACTATTAGCTTTAAACTCTAGAATCACACCCCGCATGGTAAAATGCTCACTTATACTATGAGGCAGACATATCAATGAGTTCAGAGCTGGGTGCCAGGTGCTGAGGTGGGGCACACCCGGGGCTGGGGTTATGTTTGGGTTAAGCCTCGATATCCCCCGTGTCTCCATTCTCAGCAGGTTCTGAGGACATCATCGTTGTTGCCCTGTATGATTATGAGGCCATTCACCATGCAGACCTCAGTTTTCAGAAGGGGGACCATATGGTGGTCCTGGAGAAGTGAGTCCCCGTCCCACTCCCCTAAGACATACCTACCTCCAGTACTCAATTATACCTCTTTTGTGCTACAGCGAGAACCTGATAAACTTCTCGTACTGGGTTTAAATGACTGAGAACATGATCATAATAGAGGAGGAAAGGTTTGCTGTCAACCTTTATCAAAGCCACACAAAGGGGACTGTGCACTTGCTAATGGTGCCCACCCAGGCAGGGATGAACAGGTGAAAGCGTTTTCTCAGGGAAGCCTTCCTAGGGTTCCCTTGATCCAACTACAGGCTTACCTGTGGGCCAAGCCCTACTGCGGGGACTTCACATTCAGAAATCCTTGGATCTCTGAGTCTGCCACCTCCAATCTCCTGCAGCCTTCACCACCTGTGGGTATAGTATCCAGGATGTGCTGGGGTGGTCCTGCTTGCTTAGACCTTGAACCCACTCCCTCCCACTCAGCCCCAGCTGAGCAACTAAGAGTCTCCCACAGGCACAGGGCCCTGCCTTAGGTGTAGCCAGTAAGGCCAAAGCTCCAAGTCCAGGGGAGAGGAGTAGGGCAAAAAGACCCGGGGCTGTGGGCTGTGAATTCAATCCCAGACCCTTGAGTGCACAGTGGAGACTGCTGTAAAGACCCTCTACTCTAATCATTGGGCACATGCTGGAGGCTGGGACAGCCACGGCCTTGTTCCTCACCCTACTGACTTCCTGGGGTGGTGGGTTCTCTAGGCCAAGGCTGGGGGCCAAAGGGGACCAGAGAATGGTCCTTCTGTCCCCTGACCCCTCTACTCCCTCCTGTCCCTCAGACATGAGGAGTGGTGGAAGGCTCGATCCCTGGCCACCCAGAAAGAGGGCTACATCCCGAGCAACTACATCGCCTGTGTCAACTCTCTGGAGACAGAGGAGTAAGTATTCCACTTCCTGCCTTCCAGAAGGAAGCATGAGCAAAGCCAGCCTTGTTCCCATCTCAGGACCTTTGCACACACCGTCTTCCCTGCCTGGCACACTCTTCTTAGGGCTCTGGGCTTGGCTGGCTCCTTCTCATCCTTTGGGTCTCAGAGAGGCTTTTCCTGAGCCCCATCTAAAGGGGGTCCCCACTGTGACTCTCTCTTGTGGAAACCTATTAGAGTCCCTTCTGAACGCTTCTCACTAGCAAAAATAATCTTGTTTCTTTGGTTGTTCACATGGACATTGTCTGCCTTCCCCCAAAAGGATGAGAGCTCACAGGAGCAGGGACTTTGCCTGTCTGCTCCTGCATCCTTGGCAACGGCTGGCATGCAGTAGGTGCTCAATAAATAATTGTTGAATGAAGCATATGGGTGTGCCAAGAAGGGTCTTCTGATAGGTGAGCCAGTCCCCACCTGGCCAGTCATTCCTCATCTGATTCAACCAACAAACACGTGTCCACAACTCACCAAGTCCTGTGCCAGGTGGGGGCTGCAAGAGCAGATAAGGCACATCCCTCCCCTCAAAGAGCTCCACATAACCCATCATTCTTGGCTGCAGGTTCTTCTTTGTGTTTAGCTTGACTCTGAAAATATAGTTCATACCTAAGTCATCCATTCATTCATCCATCCCTCCAATCATCCAACAGGTACCTGTTGAGTACCTACGTATACCTGGCCCTATTCCAAGGATATGAGATGACTCAGGGCTGTGGGTGAGGCTGAGGAGTAAAAAGCTGATTACACTATAGGGTGGCAATATATCCAATTCAGAAGCAGCCAGTTGAAAAGTTGAAAAATGACAGTCCTCATTGTTTTGTCTTTGCCTCCTTCCTCTGGCTAGATGGTACTGTGGGTTTGGGATACTTGCTTGTTAAAAATTAAAATGCTTGGGCTTTTCCCACCATAAAATTACCCACTTCTTAGTGCACATGAAATCTCTTTGACCTGTGAAGTCTCCCCTCTCATGGCCGCGAAGAAGCCCCATCTCCCACCACTGACCTTTCTGTCCTGGACCTGCCCCCGGCACACCCCCTACTTGCTACAGGAGGGTCTTCACTGCATCCCTCTCCTTCTGGGCTTTTTCCTGAGGCAGCCAGTGCTCTATTTCTCCAGTTCAGGGTCTGAATACTTACAGAATCCCTGCATCACCTCATGGGGTCCTTACAACAGCCTTGGAGGAGGTGTGGCTGGTATTATTCCTGGAAGGCAACCGAATTGCTAAGTGGAAATGGCAGGACAGATGATATGTGTGGTGGGTTGTCATCTGCACACACAGGCGATAATCTGAATGGATGGTTCTCAAACGTGAGCAGGCATCAGAATCACCAAGAGAGCTGCTTAAAATGCTGGTTTCTGGGCCTCACTGTGATTCAGAATGTGCATTTCTAACAAGTTCTTGGGTGAGGCTGATGCTGCTGGTCCAGGGACCCACCTTGGGAACCACTGACCTAATCCTTGCAGTGCACTCACAGACTCTTGTGTCTGCATCAAGAAACTGCCAACAGACATTGTCTCTGAGAAAGGCAACTGGGACATTGGGAACCAGGGTGGGACAGAATCTTATCTCCTCCAACCCCACCTTGAAATAGGCAATACTTTCAAATGTTTCAAAATGCAAATGGTGCAGAAGGATGTAGAATAGAGAGTGAAGTCCTCCTCCTACCCTATCCCCAACCAGCCACTTCCCCTCCCCAGAAGCAACCAGTTTCTTGTGAGGACTTGTGAGTCCTCCCAAATGCTTTATACTTGGATAAGAAAATACGTCTATCCCCACTTTGTTTCACACGAGTGGTAGATACGGTAGCCACAGTTCTACACCTCTTATTCAGATCCTCCATGCAGACCTCCCTCCTTCTTATACTGCAGAGTGTCTGTCCTATAGATGTCTCACTGTCCATTTAACCAGGCCCCTGTCAGTGGTCACTTAAGTTACTTCCAGTCTAGTGCTGCAGTGAATCTCCTTGTGTTTATGTCATTTCTACCTTGTGCAAGATCTGTGGGATAATTTCCTAGGGATGGAATTGCCAGAGTGGCAGTTCTTACTATATACCCTTTTACATTTTGAATATTTTACCATGGCATGAGTCACTTTATGACATGAAAGCAAAGAAGGCAAATGGGCAACATAGCTTGGTGATTAAGAACTTTGGCACTGGAGTTAGACTGCCTAGATTTGAATCCTGCCTCTACAACTTTCCGGCTGTGTAACTCTGGGCAAGTTACTTGCCCTCTGTGTTCCTCAGTGTCTTCATCTATAAAATGGGAATAATAAAGGTGAGGATTCCATAGAGTTGTTAGATGGATAATGAGACCTTGAACGTTAGCTGTCTTTCTCCCCAGTTGATAACAGAGGAAATGGAGGCCCAGAGAGGGAAAGCAACTTGCTCAAAGTCACACAGCAGGTTTATGGCAGAGCCAAGGCCTGCTGATGTCTGGTCTGGGGCTTTTTTCTTTATAGTACATGAACCACCTTTCACTCTGATGAGGGTGGAAATGGATTCAGCTGCTGATGCTTCAACTTTTCCACCCAAATATTCCAAATACCCAGGAAGAATGTAGAAAAGGTCCCAGGATATGGTCCCATGTATAAAATTCTTTGCAATCTCACATTTTAGCTTAGAAATTCACGCCAGCTTTACATTCGACTCTACGCAGAGGAGGATTGACTGTGAAGGAAGCTCAGGCCTCACTCTCACGGCCACCAAGGCCCTAAGAGGGACCCTCCCTGGTGTTCACATGTGCTTGTGAAATTTGTAAAAGTAAGATTTTTGACCACAGTTGGTCAAGACTGCTGTCTCTTTCCACTCAGTCTTCCTGTCCATCTCCCACTCCCTCACACAGAGTGGCATTGGAATGACCCATGACCATTTTGCATTCACAATGCTGTATAATTTTTTTAAAGGAGAGTTGCACCAAATTGCATGGGCTTCAGTCTCAGCAAACTGGATTCCCCTTTGGTAAAAGGTATGTTTTGATATCAAAAGAATGGCTGTTTTCTCCCCACAAAAAATCTTTGGGTAAAATTGATGGTGCAGGAAGCCAGGCCCTGCATGGCCACGGGTGCCCTGTGTGAGTGGTACCGGATTGCACACCCCCACATTTGCACATGCCCTCTCCCCTTCACCAGGTGGTTCTTCAAGGACATGAGCCGGAAGAATGCAGAGCGCCACCTGCTGGCTCCTGGCAATGTGCTGGGCTCCTTCATGATCCGGGACAGCGAGACGACCAAAGGTGACACCAGCCCTCCCCACCTTGTCCTGCCCTGCAGGATGCCCCAGGCACGACTGGCCACCAGCCATGCCTCAGAAGATGCCCTGGGGAAAACCGAACAATTCAACTAGGCTGCCATGACTGCCAGGTTTTCTCCTGCCCTTTGCCACCCTGAGCCAGGGAGGGCTGAGGTTCTAAGCCTGGCTGGGCCCTTCTCAGCCCCTGTAGATGCTGGCTTGGGTCAATGGAAGTAGTTCCATGTAGTTTGGGCCCCCCAAACAAACAAACATTTTGCTGAAGTTTGATCTTCACTAGCTTGTATTTTTAAAATAGACCCATCACAATATATCTTGACCACAAGCCTGATTCCTCCCTCCCTCCCTCCATAAGGAGATGGGCAGGATGAGGCCACAGGAAGAGACCCAAGCCCACCTCCTCTGGGCCCCTGTTTATAATATTCCTTGGAGGGATCTGGAAATTCTGATGTCAGATGACCAGCTTCCTGAAATTCCTGTGCTGCAAGGGTGGCTTCGCACTGGGTGGGTGCGTGGAAGGCAAGAACAGTGCCCCAAACATTACATAACTCAAACTGGCATCAACAGAGGCTAGTTTCCCCAAAGGAGTGAACATCTACAGGGTTCTCGGGATTTCAAACTTCATATGCAGAGTGCACCTTGACTTATAGGTTTAGATTCAAAACTGCTTGATACACATAAATCAAGTAAATTGTATAAAGTGTGACTTCACGGTACCCTGAAGCAAACAGTTTTGGGGACATTGATCAAAGGCTTCTGTATTGTCTTCTACGTGACCCCTAGCTATCTAAATTGGTGAAGCCTGGATGTGGCTAGGATAATGCCACTCACAATTGGTGATTCAGGTCAGTGAATGTTTAGGTTTTATTTCCTCCTACCCAACAAGCTTCCTGTAAGCCCCCAGGGGAAAAGAAACAGACAAAAAGACAAAGCTATGCATAGCCCAGCACTTCTTTCCAGCTGTGCCTAGGACAGCTTGGGGATTGGGTGGGTTCATCCTGCAGACAGGGGCAGAGAAACCTAAGAAACCATCACAGACCTTTGGGGCAGGAAAGTGAGCCTAGTCCAGCTTTCACAGCCCTCTGAGGTGGGCGCATGAAGCTCCTAAATTCCATCCTGCTGCTTCCTGGATTCTGCTCCACCCCGTCCAGCATCACCCAAGCCAGCCTCACCTTGACTGGGACAGGGTGGCTAAGAGGGGGCCCTTGAGCCAGCTGCCTGGGTTTGAATCCCAGCTGTGCCACTCACCAGCTATGTGATTGCAGGCGACCTCTCTGAGCCTCAGTTTTCTCATCTGTAAAACAAGGGGGAATATATTATAAAACCTCTACCTCATGGGACCATTCATTCATTATTCATTATAATAATACAATTGTAATTCATTAAAATGAATCTTATTCATATCCATTCATTGTTCATTCACATAGGGTGCTTAGAACAGTACATGGCATGAATAGGCAACTATTATTCAACAATTTAAACCTCCCCCAAATCTCATGACATGGTAGAGAAAACAAAGAGAGGCCAACAGCATGCCCAAGGGCACACAGCTCGCAAAAGGCAAAACTGTGGTCATGGACTAAAAGACGTGTTTCTGGTCTATGTGATAACATATGTATTGGGTTCCTATTGCTGCTGTAACAAATTACTACAAACTTAGTAGCTTAAAACAACAAATTTATTATCTTAAAGTTCTAGAATCAAGTCCAAGTATCAGTAGAGCTGGTTCCTTCTGGAGGCTTCAGGAAAGAATCCTTTCCCTTACCTTTTTAAGCTTCTAGAGGCCACCAGCATTCCTTGGCTCATGGCCCCCTCCCAACATCTCTCCCCCTCCTGTTTCCCTCTCCACATTCCCACTATTGACTTTGACCTTGCCTCCCTGTAGTAAGGACCCATGTGATTATCTTGGGGCTACCTGGATAATCCAGGATAATCTCCCCATCTCCAGATCCTCAATTTAATCACACCTGCAAAGTCCCTTTTACCAAGTAAACTAATGTATTCCCAGGTCCCAGGGATTACGCATGAACATCTTGGGGGACCATTTTTCAGCCTACCGCAACATGTTCACATTTCAACAATTTTGAACTGGATTTTTTTAAAAATCTTTTTGTTTGTTTCTGAATAGTCTGACATTTTACCAAACTGGGATGGTATCTTGCCTTTTTGCTAGATATATAGATGATAGATAGATAGGTAGATAAGAACTAATAATGAAGATGATGATGATAACCAACACTTACCAAATTTAGGTCCCAAGTACCTTACAAGCATTACTTCTTTTTTTTTTTTTTTTTTTTTGTCTTTTGTCTTTTTCCATGTCCGGCAACGGATCGCAACCCTCAGTGTTGCCCCCGTACCGGACCGGGGACCAGCAACGGGATCGCAACCCTCGGTGTTGCTCCCGCACCTCGCTCAGCCAGTGAGCGGGAACCAGTCTGTATGTGGGATCCGAACCCTCGGGCAGGAGCGCCACCGCGCTTCCCAAGCGGCGCACTATCCAGTGCACCACTGGGCCGGCCCAGCATTACTTCTTTTAATTGTCAGGCAATGTGATGATGTAGGGAGGCATGATGACTATTCTGATTTTACAGATGAGGAAACTGAGGCACAGAGATGTGATGTAGTCACTTGCCCAATGTAGACGTGGCAGAGCCTGGATGAACACCCAGATCTCCTGACTCAACAGCCCACTCTTACCCTCGTGTGCTCCTGCCCAGGTGCCAGGACAGTGCCAATGGTGGCCTTACGGGGCTCTCAGCGTGCTGACATGAGGCAGCAGGACTCTGAGGAGCCATTCTGAGAGGTTTCTCTCTGGCCAATGCAGGGAGCTACTCTTTGTCGGTGCGAGACTACGACCCACAGCAAGGAGATTTAGTGAAGCATTACAAGATCCGGACCCTAGACAACGGGGGCTTCTACATCTCCCCGCGGAGCACCTTCAGCATGCTGCAGGAGCTGGTGGCCCACTACAAGAGTGAGTCCTGCCCCTGGCCGCAAGCCCATCGAGATGGGCCTGTCTCCAGGGAATCCCAGTCACAGTGCACCGAGGCCTCTGAGGCCTGCTGAGCCCTTCCTCACCCTCCGCAGACAAACAGGTGCTGCGGATTCTCCTGAAGGCTTAGGCCTGTTGAGCAGGAGGGTGGAGGTGGCCTTGATGTGGAGGTGGCATCCCATCATTCTCTGCTGTCTTGGGAATGGCCCTGATGGTGGCAATAGTGTAGAACAATGGCCACATGGAGTGGCCCAGATGGAGAGGCCTTCAAGAGGAAGCCTCTGGCCGTCTCGGAGATCGTTGCCCCCAAGTGACCAGGGACTCTGTTCCAGAGGGGAGCGATGGGCTCTGCCAGAAGTTGTCGGTGCCCTGCGTGTCCTCCAAGCCCCAGAAGCCATGGGAGAAAGATGCCTGGGAGATCCCTCGGGAGTCCCTCAAGCTGGAGAAGAAACTTGGAGCTGGGCAGTTTGGGGAAGTCTGGATGGGTAAGGACCCAGGGCTGGAACCCATAGGGCCAGAGGGTGAAAAGGGAAGGAGGGAGGTCACTGGCTTCCAGGAATACCCTAAGGCAAAGTGGGAATGCTACCCAGGTCAGAAGGGAAGATTTGAATAATAACCATAAAGAAGTAATTCTTCTGATAGCAAACCGAATTGTCCTGCTGTGTGAACACTGATTGGCCTTTGAGACTAGGCCTGTCGGGGTCAAAACTTCCTTCTGGGAAGCAGGAGTCCTGGATGAGGGATCCCCTCCCTCATATGGAGATGGGACAGTCTACCAGGTTGGGGTTGATGAAAAGTTAGCCAGGAAATGCAGCTTGTAGATTTCAGGGTGAGTCCAATGTTGGCAACAGATGACCAAGCTGTTCTGAGCACCTGCTGTGTGCCCAGCACTGAGCCAGGACATGGTGGGGCACCAAAAAGACACATTCCACCCCTGCCACCCTCCCCCCAATAACGATAACAGCAGTGTCTGCTTTGCAGGATTGTGGGGTAGACACAATGGCTGGTCCAGTGCCCAGTGCATCCCTCTGTGTTACACTACACTTTGTTCCAAATGGGAGTGAAGGCATCTTACAGAAATGTAAATGACTCAGCCAGATAAAATATGTTTTAAATCCACGTATTTCAACTACATTTATCGAGAGCTTACTATGTGCCAGGCACTGAATAAAAGAATGTTAGGTGAGGAAGGTAAGACAGATCTGAGTGGTGGGGTTGGAAAACAAAAAATATTAGATAAGGCCCTAGACTCAGTACAGCAAGACCACATATCTGCATTAGAGCTTCCAGGAAGCCAAGGCAAAAATGGAAACCCAAGAAATTATGAGAGGGACAAGACCCACAGAAAGGCGGGGCAAGGTGGGGTGAGGGAACAGCATGTACTAAGCCCCTGTGGTGGGAGGGGGAGTTGGGTGCTTGAGGGACTGAGTGACACGTAGGATGGTTGGTGCATAAAAGGCAAGGGGGAGTTTAGTAGATGATGAGGCTGGAGAGGTGAGCAGGGCCTGTGGGGCATAGTGAGTCTGGTATTTATATCAATAGCAGTGTTAAGATTAAAGTGGAGTATGTGTGTATGTGTGTGTGAGCGACATGATCTGAACAGTATTTTGAAGTTATTTTTTAATCCTTGCAACCCTTCAAAAAGAGTGTATATCATTTCCACTTTGCAGATGAGGAAACCACAGTTCAGAGGTTAAGTGACTTACCCAAGTGCACACAGCTAGGAAGTAGTGACCCAGCCATCCAACCCACATCTGTCTGATGAGGAAACAGCACGTACTAAGCCCCTGCCTCCCCTTCCCTCTCTAAGGGCTGAGATGGCCAGGGAAGGCTTTCTGCAGGAGGCAGCTCTGTAGCTGGGCCTTCTGGGGTTGTGGGGGAAGACCAGTGGGTTCTGACCACCTTCCCTGTTCCCTGCCCCCCTCCAGCCACCTACAACAAGCACACCAAGGTGGCTGTGAAGACGATGAAGCCAGGAAGCATGTCGGTGGAGGCCTTCCTGGCAGAGGCCAACCTGATGAAAACTCTTCAGCATGACAAGCTGGTGAAACTGCATGCAGTGGTCACAGAGGAGCCCATCTACATCATCACAGAGTTCATGGCCAAAGGTGCCGCATGCTGGGGGCTGGGGATGTGGGCTGGGGATGCAGTCTGTGGCCTACACTGGACAATTGCAGACCCAAAGGTGGCTTTGGCATGGTTCTTGCCCTCAAGATGCCCCCAGTCTGGCTCTCCTGACTAGTACTAATTGAGTACCTTAATATGCAACAATCCAACGCTCCTTGTTAATGGGGTGAAATCATGTTAAGGGACCATCAGGGGAGAGGAGTGGACCAGAAACACCCTGGATAATGGGAGAAGAGGCTCATGGTTCCTTATGGGTTCCCTGTGAGCCTTTGAGGCCAGGTGACTTTCCCCCTCATCAGCCACCTTCCCTGCATGTGCCAGTGCTCTAGGAAGGAGAGTTGGCAAAGCATCAGCTCCAGGCTAACCCCGACCCTGCCACAATTCAGGATTTCTCTGGGATGATTTTTTTAGGCCCCCATTTCATAAACATTTTTAATCCCTGCCCATTTTTGAATAGACAGAACTATCTCACGCAACCTCATTTAGTGTGATTTGAAATCACAAAACTGTTTTCATTTTCTAAACACACAATGATGCCAGCCTTATAAAACCAGGACCCCAGTCACCCAGGCTCAGAGAGCTGTCTCAGTCAAAGAACCCATCTAGCAATCTAAAAATCATTTTTAAAAAACTCAAATTCTCTTTCTCAAACACTAGAAATGGTAAAAAAATATTTTTATTTAAATCCATTACCATGAAAAATTTTAACTATACACTGAAGTAGTAAAGGTGTTCCTTCCCCTCCTCCCCACAGGAAGCCTGCTGGACTTTTTGAAAAGTGGAGAAGGCAGCAAGCAGCCCTTGCCAAAACTCATTGACTTCTCAGCCCAGGTGGGAGCCTAACGGGGAGGTGGGGGGCAGGAATTCAATTATTTATTCAACTAATATTTATTGACCACATACTATAATAATAACAATAATCATAGGTAACGTTTATTGAGTGCTCAGCGTAATCATACACTTTTTGTGCATACTTTACATATACTAGCTCATTTCATGCTCACATTGACCATACAGGCTGGGATTTGTTATCTGTTCTTACGTACAAACCATGCCAGAGCTTAGTAGCTTGACACATCATTATTTCTCATGAGTCTGTGGGTTGACTGGGGTTGGCTGGGTGCTTCTGCTCCACATGATGAAGTGAGGTGATGCAGGTGCATTCAGCTGAGCACCTTCCTGGGGCTAGAATGTCCAACGTGATGTCCCATTCTCTAGGGTCCATCACCATGTGGCATCTCAGCACTCAGTAGTCCAACCAGAGCTTCTTTCCAGCAGAGACTAGGTGCCAAGAGGGCATTCCAAGGGGCCTAGCCCTAATGTGCAAGCACTAATTAAGCCTCTGTTTGCATCATGCTTGTGAATGTCCCACTGGCCAAAGCAAGTCACAGGGCCAAGCCCAGAGTCAGAGTGGGAGGGGACTGCACAAGGGCATGAATCCAGGAGGCAATGTAACAGTCTGGCCATAGTAGGTAATTGCTGTCCCATTTTACAGAATAGAAAATTGAGGAATAGAGAAGAAAGTAAGTAAAGACAAGGAAACTGAGGCCCAATGAAGTTAAGTAGCTTGCCTAAGTTACTGTGCTAATTATGAGCGCAACAGCAGTGAACAAAATGGAAAATCTTGCTGTCCTCACAGAGTTTGCAGTCCAGATGGGGAGACAGGTATTAAACAACTGAATCTCTTAGAGAGCCATGACCCAAGAGGTCCTGATGCAGTCAAAAGAGCACAGGGTCCAGCAGAGTAAATAATGAATGCAATTTGCGGAAACACTTCCTCAAACCTCATTTTCTCTCTTCTTCACCTCACCCCCTGCAGCTGGTCTCACCTCCAGCTTGAGTGTTTTTTAATTTCTGTTCTCTCTCGGGCTCTTTCCTGTCTGTGTGAAAACAGGCAAGGACGGGTGCTCTCGGAGTGCATAGCTGGAGCATTTAGTCTGGTCGAGGAGCAATCAGAGAAGGCTTCCCAGATGAGGTGGCCTCTAGGCTGAGTCCCTGAAGGATGAGTAGAAATTCTGCAGATGAAGAGGAGTGGGAAGGGTGTTCTAGACAGAAGAAACAAAAGCCCAGAGAGGAAAACAAAGGAGCTCTGCCTGGTCAGCTGGAGCCAGAGGTGACGTGGATGAAGGGAGTGTGGTTTGCAGACTGGTGGGAGTGGAAGGAGATGGGCCTATGGCTGGAGATGCCAGGGGCAGAGTTCATTTGAGTATGCAAATTCCAGGGACCCAGAGGCCACCACAAGGTAAAATAAAAAGCTCTACTTTCAGAGCCTGGGATGCCAGAGACATAGGGAAATCAAGGCCTGGCATTTTCGTTGCAATGCGCCCTGTCATCTGAGAAACAATAGCCTGGTCTGTTGCTAAAGTAATACCCTCAAACCTGCAGAATACCTTGCTGGGCAGGGTCACAAACTGGAGCAAGAGCCACCACAGATGGAAAGACAAATCAAGGGAGGGACGGAGGTTCTGGGCCTTTGTGTATCCAGAAGTAGAGGTAGACTCAGAGCCCAGGGACAGGTAGGAGCCTACCTGGGGACCTGGTCTTCGCCTCCAGTCCTATAGAGGCAGCCCTGTAACCAACTGGCTGTTGCCCTCTGACCCACTTTGGGTCTCAGTCTCTTCATTTGTCAAATGAGGGAACTGGATCACACCTATGGTTTTCAAGTTCGAAACTTTTTTTAGTCACAACTGTTGTTCAAATGAAATTTTATACTGAAGCTGAATATATAAAAATAGGACAACACAAAGCCACTCTGATTGAAGCAGGGGGAGCCTCATACATGGCCTTTCTTTAGTCCCTCCACTTCAGACAACCTTGAGGCATCAGTAGGATTCAGTTCGAAGAGCCCTGGACTGGAATATGAGTCCTTCCAGCTCTGATTCTGCAATTCCCTGATACTCTTGGAAGCAAACCCAAGTTTCAGTGCCTGACCTCTTGGCCACCTGCTTGGTGGTCATGAAATCTCACCCCCTCTGCAACCCCCAATTCTTCGACCAACACCGGGCCCAGTAAACCTGTCCATTATTCATTCAGTTGACAAACCCTCCAGAAACAACACCATAAGAATATGGGCTTAGGAGTCACACAGAGTTTTGGTTTTGGTCCCAGCTCTGCCTGTGTGGCTTTGAGCACATTGCTTAACCTCTCTGAGTGCCTCTTTCCCCAACAGGGATCACTGATAGTCATCGCTGAAGTGCATACTAGGTGCCAGACACTATTCGAAGTCCTTGATGAACTTAGAGGATTCATCTTCACATGACCCTTCAGAGGCAGGTGCTATTCTTGTCCCCACGTTACAGAGAAGAAAAGTGAGGCACAGAAGGATGAAGTAGCTTGCTTGAGATCTCAGACCTATGGGGCTCGAGCTGAGCTGTTCCAACTCCAGGGCCAGTTAGCTATTGACCTCTACTGTCTCCTAAGTGAGGTTAGTCGTGCCTGCCCCACTGAGCTCATATGAAAATCAATAAAATATGAGCATCTTTCAGTGAGGATTAAAAAATGGTAACCATCAGTATTAGTGCTGCTCCATAAGAAATACAGGGTAGAAAGGTCAGGAAGAGTAACATGTAAGTGCACGGGCCCTGAGCAGGGCTGGCAGAGTTCCAGCCCTGGCTCTGTAGCTTGCAAGGTGTGTAACCTTGGGTCACTTGTTTATTTCCTTTAGCTTCAGTATTCTCATCTGTGGAAATTGGGCTGATAGCAAAAGTACCTCCCACGAAGCTCACAGTAAATGCTGTGTGTTTGTTATGTATCATCTAATAAATAAGCTGCAATATCTATCTTTAGCTTAATAACTTTTGCTAACTGTTCATCTAAGAGCTCCTTATAAACTTCTCATACCCTCTGAGCCAAGACCCTGTCTCACCCCACGCACCCACCCCAAATAAAATCAGAGATTCTCTTTCAAGTTTTTGTTCCAAAGTCTGGACCTCAGTTCCTACTACATGGGGTGCCCCCTGCTGTCCATTCCCTGCAAGTGCGGCTCCCATTTGCCTCAAACCCTTAGCCTGCCGGTTGGTGCCTTAGTTTGGTCTGTCTGGTCAGACCCCCGCCCATCCCCGAAATAATCTCATCAGATTGCACCAGCTGCAGTCCTCCAGAGCACTGGAGTTCTGAGTTATTTAGAGGCAGCATGGGGGCACTGGATTGGGAATCTGCAGACTGGTTTGAGTCTGACATTCAGAATTTTCCCGGCGATATGATCTGGAACAAGTGTCCCCTCCTCTGTAAAACAGAGATGGTGATAATTCCTACCTCAAAGTGCTTGAAGGCCAGTTTGTATACTATAAGCATTAATATCTCGGTATTTGAGAGTTAATCTTAAACCTCTTTTGTTCAAACCCTTGTAAGTAAAAATGTCTCTGAGGCTCGATCCCATGTCTTCCTATCAGAGGCTTCCAGGGCCCCTTCTGTAAATAGGGCTCCTCCACATGGTCTGTCTTTCACTTGGCAGCCTTGATGATCTTAACGTGCAGATCAGATCATGTCACACTCCTGCCTGAACCCTTCTGGTATCTTCCCATTGTGCTCAGAATAAAATCCAACCTCCTCTTGAAGTCTTCTAGTATCTTCCCATCATGCTCAGAATAAAACCCAGCCTCCTCTCTCGGCCTACAAGGTTGTTTGTAATCAGTGGCCTCCCTCTCTACTTCAGCTCTCCCCATTCTTCTTGTGTCACCTACTGCTCAGTCACCCTGGCCTCTGTGCTGTTCCATCAACACCCAAGTTCATCTCTACCTCTAGGTCTTTGAACCTGATGTTCTCCCTGCCTGGAACGTTCTTATTTGACACACTTATTATCATCATCATTCAGATCTTTGCTAAAATTTCACCTCCTCAAAGTGGGCTTCCCAGACCACCCAATCCAAAAGAGTCCTCTGCACTTCAAGTCCTGTTACCCTGCTATGTCTTTTCTTTGTGGTACTTATCCCCACCTGCAGGGGCTTTGCCTGGCTCACCATCTGTTCAAGCAACATGTCTGCCACCCACAGTACACGCAATAGCTTTTTGTTGAATGAATAAATGAATTTTCCCTACCCAGGCTCAGGGATGAAGAAGATATAAGAGATACAACAGAATAGGACATGAGCCTAGATTGTCTCCAGAAAGGGAATTGTGGATGAAAGCTCTTCATGGTATCTGTGTGTGTGTGTGTGCGTGTGTGTTTGTGTGTGTGTGTGTATTTGTAGGTCCTGGAGATATAATCGCATCACTTTTTTCTTGAGAACATTTCAAAGTGTTCTCTGTAAGTCTTGGAAATCTAGAGAAGCCCCCAAATTGACCCAGGCCTTGTGGATCCCCCCAACCTCCTTGGGTAGACAGAGGAATGTGAACCTGATCCCAGAACACTCTCAACAAAAGAAAGGTGGAGCAGCTGATGCAAACATTTTCCATTTTTCTCCCACTTGGAAACTCCTCTTTTGCTTTTGAGAAGGACCACCTTGGGCTGGGTCAAGTGTGAGGATGAGGGTGTCTCTGTTTTGGGTGCAGATTGCAGAAGGCATGGCGTTCATCGAGCACAGGAACTACATTCACCGAGACCTCCGAGCTGCCAACATCTTGGTCTCTGCATCCCTGGTGTGTAAGATTGCAGACTTTGGCCTGGCACGGATTATTGAGGACAACGAGTACACAGCTCGGGAAGGTAGGGGATGCTGCCAAGTGGGACCATGGTGCCCACTTGGATGGGTCATGAGTGTTGAGAGTCGACACCTGTGAGAGTGATTGGTAAAATGCAGGGATCTGTCCCTTTGTTAGCCATGCATGATTGATCTCAGTAAGGTCCTTCTCGATAGTGTCCTGGACTTCAGAGTCCCATGCAGTGACTTTGAGAAGGAAATTTCAGACCAGATTGAGAAGTACTGATCAATTTTAGAATGAGTTAGTCAAGTATATGTTGAAATCAAGGGCAGAGCAACTTTATGCATAATAGACAAAAACTGGGAAGAATCCAAACATCCATAAACAGTAGGATGGATGTATAAACCATGGTATAGCCATGCTATATAATACCATGTAGCAATGAAAAAGCACATACCAATGCTATATGCAACAAAGTGGGTGACTCTCACAGACATAGTGTCAAAATGAAAGATATCGGACTAAAAAGAATAGATGCCAAATGGTTCCACTTATATGAAATTCAAAAACAGATAAAACTTGTATATGAATGTTCATAGCAGCATTATTGTTATAGCCAAAAGTGGAAACAACCCAAATATCCATCAACTGAGGAACAGGTCAACAAAATGTGGTATATCCATCCTATGGAATATTATTCAGCCATAAAATGGAGTGAAGTACTGATACATGCTATGACATGGATAAACTTTGAAAACCTCATGTTAAGTGAAAGACAGACACAAAGACAACATATTGTATGATTTCATTTCTATGAAGTGTCCAGAATAGGCAAATCTAAAGAGATGGAAAGTAGATTAGTAGTTGCCTAAGGCTGGGGTGGGGAGTTAAGGAGAAATAAGTGACTGCTATGGGTTTTTTGGAGGGATGTAATGAAAATATCCTAAAATTCACAAATATGTAAATATTCTAAAATGCCATTGAATTGCACACTTTAAATGGGTGAATTTTATGGTCTATGAATTATATCTCGATAAAGCTGTTAAAAGAAAAAAACAGGCAAAATTCATTTATAGCGCAAAATAGCAGTTACCTGGAGGGGATGGTATTAACTGGAGAGGGCAGGAAGGTGCTTTCTGAAATGCTGAAAATGTTCTATATCTTGATGCAATGCTACTTACAAGGGTATGTATATATATAAAAATGCATCAAGTTGTACATTAAAGATCTGTGCACTTTATGTCATGTTAGTTATGACTCAATAAAAAAATGTTAAACTAAGGGTAACCATTTAAAGAATAAAAGTAGAATGTATAGGGCCGGCCCGGTGGCGCACTGCTGCAGTGCACCGCTTGGGAGCGCGGTGGCGCTCCCGCCGAGGGTTGGGATCCCACATACGGACCGGTTCCCGCTCACTGGCTGAGCGAGGTGTGGGAGCAACACCGAGGGTTGCGATCCCGTTGCCGGTCCCGGTCCGGTGCAGGCGCGACGCTGAGGGTTGCGATCTGTTGCCAGACACGAAAAAAGACAAAAAGGAAAAAAAAAAGTAGAATGTATAATTTCTAAACCAGGAGAGGGTAAGCAGAAAAAAAGAAATGAAAAGAAAACTCTCCAGATCCAAAGGAAGGAAGGGGGCTGCCCAATTAGGTCACCTAGGAGAGCATGGTGCTGATAACAAGGGTTCGGATCCCCGTACCGGCCAGCCACCAAAAAAATTAAAAAGCTAAAGGGAAGGAGGAAAACACACACAGACACGCACACTCACAGAGCGTTTTCAAAGCTTGACTGTACTCAGTCATAAAGCAGGTCTCACCAAATTCCAGAGAACATGACCCTATAGACCACATTCACCAATCATAATATAATTAACATAAACACTAGCAATAGGTTAACTAAACCCATCTCAGACCAGGTGGAAGGAGGAGACACCCAGTGACTGATGGAAACCTCAGAGGCTGACAGCAAAAATCCATTGCCAGAAGTGAGGGGACTGAGGTATCAGCTGCAACTTAGACTCAAGGCCACCCAACGTCCTTCTGTCCCCAAAGATTCTGTGATCTCTAGACTCCACTCTTTGGAGTTAAAGTCCACTGTTATCAGCTGAATCAATGAGGTGTCCTCCAGAGAGTGAGCTCCACACCACACTGGCCTCTCTGCCCCTCCTCCTCACTTTAGCCCTCTGTCCTGAGGATGGATGTCCCTTCATTCCACAGGGAGGCCACGTTGCAGGGGAATCGCAGTTCTGTAGGGGGCAGATGTTGGCAGCTGTTGCCCCTGTCCTGTGCCCTGGCCCCAGAAGAGACCCAGCCCTGACTACTCCCCAGATTCCCCCTGACTCTGCTCTACCCAACCCTGCAGGGGCCAAGTTTCCCATCAAGTGGACAGCTCCTGAAGCCATCAACTTTGGCTCCTTCACCATCAAGTCAGATGTCTGGTCCTTTGGTATCCTGCTGACAGAGATCATCACCTACGGCCGGGTCCCTTACCCAGGTGGGAAAGGGGACATCAGTGTGGGGCTGCTTCCAGAATCCAGCATGGCAATGTTTCCATTCAAACTGAGTTCTTGATCCTCATCCCCAACCTTCCCTCACCTTTCCCATCTCAGTTAAAGGCACCACCCAACTTCTTAAGCCTGAAATCTGGGAGCTTCATTGGCCGTTTCTTCTCTCTCATGACTTACACATCCAAGCAGTCACAAGGTTCTTGGCCATTCAACTCCAAAACACATCCTGAGTCTGCCCACTCCTAACTCCACAGTCTCCGCTCGCAGCCAGACCAACACCATCTCTCCCCGGATGGTGCAGTGGTCTCCTAATCAGTCTCACCGTTTTCTCCTCCCTCTCTCCTGCAGGCTATTCTCCACTTGTAGCCAGAGGGATTTTTCTAAACTTTGAATCAGATCTTGTCTTCTCCACTTCTAACTCTTCAATGGTCTCCCATTATAATTAGGACAAAATTCAAAACTCCTAGTATGGCCTGCAGGTCCTCCATGATCTAGCCCCTACCTACTTCTCCAACTTCCTTTCATGCTGCACCCCACCACCCAGGCATCGAAAGAACCATACATCTGCCCCATGATCCTCTTTCATAAACCCTATACTGTTTCGTTCATAGCATTCATGGCAATTAATAACTATGTATTTGTTTAATATTTTCCCCATTAGACTCTGAACTCCATGAGGCCAGAAATCATGTCTGTATTTCTCACTAGTGTGTCTGAAGTGCCTGCCTCTGTGCTTAGCTCATGGTGGGTGCTTAGAAATTATTTGCTGAATGGATGAATGTATCCTCATGCCTCTGGGAAGTGCCCTGTGTTGAGTAGATCATGTGGGTATACAAAGATGTACCCAATATGAAGATTGCCTGGCACTCAGTAAATAATGTTACTCTCTGTTCCTTTTTTGATTGAGATGTCTCTTATGGTATCTGTAGCCAGAACACTGGGAGATGGGCAAGATGGATATAGAGACCCCGACTTTTTATATAAATAGTGCTGAATTTGAATCCTGTCCCCATCAACTATTAAACTTTGAGAAATTCACTTCACTCCTCCTACCCCCATGTCTTCACCTGTAACAAATATAGGTGATGATATCTACCTTACAGAAGTGATTGTGAGGATTAGAAATAAAAGACGCAGACACTTGTTTCATTCAACAGTATTTATTGAATTCCCACTATGTGTTAGGCACGGAGGATACAGTGAGAGACATGGTCCCTGCTAATAAGGAGTGACTGTTCATAAGGAGCTCAGGTTCTAGCCTAGGGGAACACACACTCAACAAACACTGTCAGATGGAGATCACTGCTGAGAAAACAAGGCAGCAGGTGTGAGAGGGAGCACCTGTCAGAACAGGTCATATTTGAGTTGAAAGGCAGCTGGGTGAAGATCTAGGGAGAGGGTTCCAGGTGGAAGGCACTGCTAGCTCATAGGGCCTTAGGTATGTCTGAAGAATAGCAAGGAAGCCAGGTAGCTGGAGACAAGGAACTAGAGCAGGCAGTAGATGATAAGGTTGGCAGGGCTAGACCAGGCAGGGCCCACTGTCATGGTGAAGAATGTGGGTTGTTAGTCTAAGTGTATGGGAAGCCACTGGAGGGTTTGGGGCTTGGAAGTGGCATTATCTGCTTTCCATTTTTAAGTGATGCTTTGGTTCAGCATGAAGAAAGGATGGGAGGGAGAGGAAACAGGATGGCAGCCCATGAGGCAGCTGTAGCAGTGGCCCAGGCAGAGGTGGGGATGGCCTGGACAAGGTGGTGGCATTGGTGACAGAGTTAAGTTGACAAATTGGTGCTGCATTTTAAAAGAAGAAAGGATATGACTTGCTGATGTGGAAGGTGAGGAAGACAGAAGCAAGGATGATTATCCTGGCTTTGATTGAGCAATGGGATGAGTAATGGTCTAGGGGTAGGAATTCAACAGTCCTATTTTAGCCCTGTTAAATTTGAGGCGACTTATAGACATCCAAGTAAAGATGTATAAGGAAGCACTTGAGTATATGACTTTTGACTGTAACATAAAATAAGACTTAAACATAAAATTGGGGATCATAGACATTTAACAGTTGTACTTATGGGTAATTAATGTAAATTTATATTGAACAAGGAAATGGGCCCACTCATAGGGTGACAATGAATCTGACCACCTGACTGTTTTGTCTTGAGGCTACACTAGTAAAAACCAGGCAATGGGTTATATTACCCTATATCCATGAGGATGCATTAGGCTGCAAGTAACAAATTAGACTAAGAGTGGCTAAAACAATAGATTATTATTCCCCATCATAAGAAGTCTGGCTTGGTCAGTTCAGCAGCTCAGCAGCTTTCAGGACTCTGGGTTAGTTTCTCTGTGATCATCTTCCCCATGTGGTCACATGCTGGCTGCAGCTCCAAGTATTACATCATTTCACAGGGTCCAAAGGAAGGAAGGAAGGGTGTGTCCAAAGCCTCATTTAATCAGGGAGGAAAACCTTTCCAGGGACTCTCCCAGAAAACTTTCCTGTCAGCTCCTATTGGCCAAAACTGGGCCCCAGGCCCAGGCCCTAGCTGCAAGAGAGACTGGTAAGGGCTTTTCTGGCTTTCGCAGTGGGAGGGGTTCAGCTCACAAGGTAAGGTAGGGAGTGGTGGCAATAGGGGAAGTCACCACGTCTGCTGCCCCTGGGCTCCCATTTCCCAGTCCCTCCCTTTTTAATTCCATGACTCCTTCTCAGGGATGTCTAACCCCGAGGTGATACGAGCACTGGAGCATGGGTACCGTATGCCTAGACCTGAGCACTGCCCTGAGGAGCTCTACAACATCATGATGCGCTGCTGGAAGAACCGCCCGGAGGAGCGGCCCACCTTTGAATACATCCAGAGTGTGCTGGACGACTTCTACACGGCCACCGAGAGCCAGTACCAACAGCAGCCATGATGGGTGGGACTAGGGCCACACCAGGAGCCCAGGCATGCCTGTGAAGTGGCTCTGGCACCATCCACTGGGGCCTGCTCCACCCTTTGCACACAGAACTTGTTCCAGACACAGTTTTCTCATCTGTCAACTGGGTGGGTTGGACTGGACAATCTCTTTTTGACTCTAGCAATCCACAATCTGCCATTCTCAGGAGACCCTAAGTTGATATTACTATTGCCTGGTACAGTTGAATTCCAGTTACAGCTATGGTTTAGATAGGAAACTTAAAAAAGAATTAGATAAATATTTATAAAAAATATGAATGCCACAAGCTTTACCAAAAGGTGGGCTTTTCTGTCCTTCCAGTTCCTGAATATCTATTTGCCTTCCTGCTAAAAGCAGGGTTCAATGCTCCAAGTTTTCTAACTGCCCTAAAATAGTTGCTGGCTGTATTAGTTTCTTTTTTCTTTTTCTTTTTTTTGTCCTTTTTGAGACCGGCTGCACCGCGCTCAGCCAGTGAGCGCACCGGTCATCCCTACATAGGGATCCGAACCCGCAGCAGGAGTGCTGCTGCGCTCCCAGCGCCACACTCTCCTGAGTGCGCCACGGGCTCGGCCCAAGTTTCTTATTGCTGCTGTAACAAATTACCACAAACTTGGCGATGTAAACAACACAAATATATTTTCTTACCATTCCAGAGGTCAGGAGGTTGAAATGGGTGGGCAGGGCTGCATTCCTTCTGGCTCTAGGGGAGAATTTTTTTCCCGCCTTTTCCAGCTTCTAGAGGCTGCCGACATTCTTTGACCCATGGTTCCCTTCTGCACATCACTCCAAACTCTGCTTCTATCATCACACCTCCTTCTCTGACTCTGAGTCTCCTGTTTCCCTCTTTAACTTGTCAGGACCCCTGTAATTACACTGGACCCACATCGGTAATCCAGAATAATCTTTCCACCTCAGGATCCTTGATCACATTTGCAAAGTCACTTTTGCCATGTAAGGTAGCATTTTCACAGGCTCTGAGGATTATTAGGACATGGACATCTTTGGATGCCATTATTCTGCCTGCCACACTGGTATCCAGATAATGAATGGGTTTAACCTCCAGGAAGTTGGGTCTGCCAGGATGACAGGAATGGTTTCTCATGATCTGGGGCCCTGACTCTCCTGCTAGGCCTCATTGCTATGTGAGTTAGTCAGTCTATTTCTCCCCCAGGGCTGAGGGCTGGCATTTCCCACGTCCATGTAGCCATCATTATTAAGATGGTGTCCACCGCTGCAAGAATCCTGAGGTCTGCAGATGTGGCTGCTGAGGGGTATCTGGGACCCTGTGTGGAATGCTCTCAGTGGAGGGAAGGGAAACTGGGCAAGGAGCAGAGGAGAAAAGGAGGCAGTGTGCACTTCCAACATGTTGCTTCAACTGAAAGCTCCTGGCAGTTGCTTTTGCCCTGGGGGAAAGATAAGAAGAGGTGGACAACGGCATGGGGGCAAATGATACCTTTCTATGTTGTTGTGTCCCCTGAATGATCTACATCACAGCGCCCCCTGGCTCCCATGGAATTCTATACTGAATTGCTTTTGTACCCTTGAGTAGCGCAGGGGTCTAATCTTAGGAACTGGGTATGAGAATAGTGGAAAATAAAGCCAGTAGTAGTCCAATTTACTTAGCTGATAATTTAATTTCTCTCTTACTTTCTGTTTTGGGATGTGTCTTTGGGTAGCTGAAAGCAAAGCTCAGGGTCTTGTGATGGGAATGTGCCCTTGTGATTTGTGGTATGTTGGATTACTATTCAGTAATCCATAGGAGGAATACACTTCCCTGCCCCACGGATGTTGAGCTTGGCCGTGAGACTTGCTTTAGCCAATGGGATGTTAGCAGATGTGATACAAGCAGAGACTTGAAATGTGCTTGTGGGGCTGCTTCCCCTCCACTTTTTTTTTTTTTTTTTTTTTTTTTTTTAAAA